CCAGCTCTGTATGATGTTGTAGCTTCCAAATCATGGGTCTAGTTGGCTACATTCCTTCCTGTAGCCAAAGAATATAAGGAAGGAAAAATAAAACTGGTAAAGGAAAGCTTTTCCCTGTATGGAGGATTTACCAATACAGAAAATTTGTGGATTCCATGCTGTGAGGAATATAACAGCATTCATAGACCTTGCAGTTTAGCAATGGATTCCCAGTGTTTTGTTTGTGAAAAAACATGCAAGGAGAAATTTCTGGTGTATATAATCACAATGGGAGAAAATTGCAGCATTTCACTGAAACAAATTCAAGGACAGAACGTGATCTTCAAGTTCTGCAGCATGGTAGTCCTATCTTTAGCTATGATAATCATTTTGCAGAAATAATTAAGGCTACCACTACAGCCAATAAGCCCATGCAAATTAGTAGAGTTCTTTTAATATGAGTGTATTATCTTATAAGGTGTATTATCTTCTAAATTAAATAGGCAGCTTGATATTGCTTTTTGGGGAAAAAACAGAAGCCAATTTTACATGACAAATTCATTTTAAGTTCTGATTTACCTGCTTACCAGGTAAATATCAATTTGAAAGTTTAAAAAACATGCATGAGCTAATTTATAAAAGGAAAGTTCATTTTTTATTTTTCCTTTTTTTTTTTTTTTTTTTTAATCTCTCATTAGCTGTCAGTCTCCATGATGATTTGCAAAAATAGTAAAATATTCAGGTAGAAGGTTGTCTTTTATGTCATTTTGCACAACTTACTATTCTTGAATTAAACAATTGATTTCTGTCAAAAAAGAGATACATAAGTAATTCATATTGTGTAGACCATTTGTATAATTACACAGAAATTCTGAAAAAATACTCAGTTTGAAGTATCACAAATAGTCAGATTAAATGGAAGATTTAAGTCAGTTGCATCTCTGGAAAACAGATTTTCTTGCCAGATCTGGAATATATTTAATTTATATGTTGTTCTAGATATTCACAGGCAATTTGAAACTGTGATCAAGCCTTAATGTCCTTTGTTTATCCTTTCTTATACATGAGTTTCCATAGCACTGAAGCCAGTCCAAGGTCTTGTGAAAACCAACAATAGAAATTCCAAGGTGGCCAAATTAATTTTTTCCTGAAAGCATCTTGTAAAATAAACTTCTTCTGTGTATCGCTGTTACAGTATCAGCAGGGAAGTGATGAAAAATAAAGCCTATGCTAAATTGTGAATGGGTGACAGATTGCAAATACATTCTCAATCAGAAGTATAGAATTAAAGAGTTGGAGATTTCCTGCAGAAGGCTAAAAATTTAAGATTTTGCAGATAGCAATGCATGAAATCAGGAACTTGCTAGGGAAGTTGAGAAAGGCGTTGAGATTAATACTGATTTTTTGCATCCCTCCTAAAAAGACAGACAAACTCTGTTTTAGATCGATTTGTTGTAAAATGATCTAGATTTGAAGCTCTGTGTGATATTTCTGTGATAATTTTCATCCATTTCTTTTTCATTATTACTTGTGGAGATGTTCTTTGGAGAAATATCAGCAATAATATCCCAACTGATTCTTTTAAATCACATCAGAATTTGTACTGAAACTGACATATTAATTTCATTTAAGAAAAACAAAACAAAACAAAACGAAAAAAAAAAGAAAAAAGAAAAAGACTATTTGAGTAATATAAATTATTTGGAAAAGAACAAGAAGGAGACATAATTTTTCATTGTGCTCTCAAAATCAGGTTTATTACAGTGTTTCAAGTTCAGATTTAACCACAATAATTCCTACTGAAAAGGTTGGTATGTAGGCTTCTGAAGACATAAGCTGAAATGATGTTTAGTGCAGTCATTGTTACTGTTACTGAGCTATTCTATATCTGCACCTCAGAATTCATACATTTAAATATATTTCTAGTTCTATTGTTATGCTTTTGTTCTCAGTGACTAGTTACTTTCATTTTGAACTCATTGGACAACAGTTTGAGTCAGTAAATAATGTCAAAAATTAAAGAGTACTACTGATGAGTCTTTGAATGCTATGCATTTTTCTGTCCTCATTCATTTAATATTCAACACAAATATTAAGGATTTATTTGTTTGGTTTTTCACAGTACCAAAATCTACTTTTAGTAATTCTTATGATGTTGTCAGGTCAGAATAATTTAGAGACTTGTATTATATAAGAAATGATGTTTTTGTAGAAAACAGGGGTGACCAGCAGAGCAAGGGAGGTGAGGCCCATGTAAGACCCCATCTGGAGTACTGTGTCCAGACCTGGACCCCTCTGCACAGGGAGGATAGAGGATATGGAACTGTTGCAGTAGGTCCATGGGAGGGCCAAGAAGATGCTCAAAAGGTTGGAGCACCTCTCTTATGAACAAAGGATGTGGGAGCTGGACTTGTTTAGATGGAGTAGAGAAGGCTCCAAGGAGACCTCATTGAAGCCTTCCAGTAATTGAGGTGAGCTTGTAAGCAGGAGTGAGAGAGACTTTTTTTACATAGTCTGTTAGTGATAGGATAAGAGGAGAGATTTAGGTTAGATGTTAGGAGGAAATCCTTTACTCAGATGGTGGTGAGGCACTGGAACAGGTTGTCCAGAGAGGCTGTGGATGCCCCATTGCCTGGACATGTTCAAGGCCAGGTTGGATAGGGCCCTTCGCAACCTATGCCATTCTGTGATTCTTTGATTCCCTTAGGGTACTGTTCATAAAGAACAAGGCTCTGAACTAGTGCCAGGCCATGGTTACTATGATAGATGTCACACTCGGCATCACTAGAAAAAGCCTTCTGAAGAACAGTAATATATCACATGAGACTTCTGACATTACCATACATAAGAACAGTCATAATGCTGTAAGTTAAATGTTATTTATTAGCAAACTAATGCACAATAAATTGTTTCTGTATCCAAGGGGAAATCATAGAATGGCTTATATTAGAAGGGGCATCAAAGATCATTTAATTCCAACTGCCCTGGAATGGACAGGGTTGCCTTTCAATTTCTTAAAGTACAGCATCAATGTGTGATATTGGATTACAATTGAGATTTCAGAAATTGGAAGAACAGTATTAAATCTTGGAGATTCTTTATAAACTCATGACTATAGGATGCAATTAACTGAAGGGCTCTGAGTCATTTATTCCCAAAGCAGTCTCATGACTGTGTCAGGAGACAGAAGAAAAAAGTAATTTCTGTTTTAAAATAGCTGACAGAAAATAAAATGTGCACTAGCTGCAGCAGCATCAGCTTTCTGTGATATACTCCTTTCTAATCATTACTGAAAGTGTTCAGTTAATTATACAATTATTACTGAATACACAATGCTCAGGAGCAGAATATGTTTTTTAATGAAAAAAATTAGAAAGTGTTTTTTATATATACAAATGGATGATATTTGCTTCAGAGACCTCACAAAGTTTATGGGGAGTTTCTAAACGAGGTAAAAATATTTAAATATAAATACATGTGTTTTCTGATTCAACTTTTCCGAGAACACAGAATTGCTGTCAAATTTACGTGAATGATCACATTCTCAAGAACCTTTTTCCTGGACAAACTCCCATTTCTCAGAACGAGGGATTGACTTATTATGCTGTGTGTCACCAAAGGTGGGGTCTCATCACATAAGATGTGGTTATGAAAGTTTCTGGTCATTGTATGGAAAAAAAATTTAGTCTTGCACTATAAAAAAATGTTTCCACTTTTAACTCAGACACAAAACTACCACGTTCTCTTATGAGGATAAATTAGGATCCTTTGTCTTTTTGAAATCCATAATTTTCAGTTTTCATTGTCTTAGTACGAGAGCTTCCAGCATTTTCCTTATTCCCCATGAATGTTCAGAGACTCAGAAACACTTTTTAAAATTTTTACCCCATAAAAGATTAAGAGCTTTCTTATAGAACCATTTATTCCACTTGGAACATGGACTTATCAAATCATCTTGAGCTTTGTTATTGGTTTTTACATGACACATAATTCTATTTATATAACAGGTTTCTTTTCACTTTATCAACATTATAAACAAGGGCAAATTTTCCCTCTCTTTTTTTTTCCCCATCATGCCAGTGTTCATCACAGAGGTCTATAAATGCATTTATTTTAGTACTGTGTTGTCCTTATGCTAATCTGCTCTAGGTTTTCAGATTATATTCTTTTTATTGAAATGCATCTCTGTGGAGTTTAAACACACACATCAGTTCAATGGTGCAATGAAATGCCATCTTTAGTATATGTCTATTATAACCAGCTTGAGGGAATCAGCACTGCAAGAATAACTTCTCAGTACTGAATCAGAGAGAAAAAGCAGGTACTTTAGACCATAAAGATTTCAGAAGGAAAGTTGCAAACTTTAAAAGGATTGATATACAATTAATAGATTAATCTAGAGATGGGCTGAAAAGTAAATTGATATTTTTCAAAACTGATAACAACTTTAGGAATCATCTCCCCATTACTGCAAACATTGCTTCCAGACACCAATGCTCCAGTGACTGTAGTATTCTGAATTCTGCATAATACTATGGAACACACTGCATATAATTTCTACCCTTCCTTTCTGAGTAAAATCTTGATTAATTTTTCCATCTTAGACTGGGCTGATTCCATGTTTGTTCTTATCAATAGAAAGGATCATCCCTCATTGATGTACTGGGCAGATTCTGAAAATAGTTGAATCCCAGTTTGATTGACAAGTATTGACAAGTATTAACTTCTGTGCTAAAATTTCCTATGTTCTGTACATCCAGTTACAAAATATTCTGGTGGTCCTGGAAGAAAGATTTACCTTGTTTGCTATAGTAAGCTTTGCTAGAACTATCACAACTCTTACTATCATACCAAATATGCAATTTTTCAGATTCTTATGCTTAGAAGTTTTATTAGCATCAATTATTTCACAAGTCATTCTTATTTAATGAAACAAAAATAGCATCTCTACAGTGGGCTGCAACCACTGTTCCAGGTAATGTAAGCACACAACAGAAAATCTATTAATGTAATAGCATTACCTGTCTTCCACACGAACAGTCAGTGTAGAAGCATCTGCTCTGGTACCCAGGCTGTGCAGTGCACATGACGGTGCACACCAGTGAGCAGCTCCAGGGAGGTATGAGCAAGATTTTAAGCATATTTCACTGAAGAGACCAAGAACTGCAGGATAAATCTGAGGGGGAATCTGGAAATCATGATGTGGAGAAAGAATAGGCAGGTTCTTACAAAAATAATCATCTTCAGTTACCATGATAATGTGCTTATTTTGTGTTTATAACACAAAAGAGTGCTAACATATTGCGTTAGCCTGAGTATGTGTATGGATATATTTGTGTATACAAATGCCATCTTCCACCTCCTTCTCAAAAAAAGCTTTATGGAGTTACATATGCCACCATGTGTTAAGTAAATTTTTTTTGGTGAGCTATAAATGACTTGGGCAAGCTGTGAAATAAAACAGCCTGTTCCACTGCATTAAAAGTGAAGATTCTGTGCTTATTCTCTGTGCAATAAATGTGCAATGGGCCACTATCCAAACTAACTGGAATGAAAACGTCATATGTGATTCATACACCAATACCTATTCACTGTGTAAAATTCCCCTTAATACAGGCTTTATGAGAAAGGGAAAACATCAAAATATCCTGTTATATTCTAAGTCAGAAACGGTACTTTTTCCATATTGATTTTCACTTTTAAAATCTAATTTAGTGTTACTAGAACTAAAAGTTATTTTTCTGTATATATTTCGTATGGTCTAAATTTTTTGAAAGCTTGCATCTGATTTTATCCATTTACCTCCAAGATTTTTTGTTCTTTTTTTTACTATTTTATCAGGCAATACCTCTAAGATACTAAAAGAAATTGAAAAATTACCTCCTAACTAGCTACTTTCCAAGGGATATGGGAAAGTTCCTATGTGGTTCTATAGCAGAACATCATTTTCCATTTCCATTTAAATGCAATATCATAGTTTTTTCTTCTGCCTGACCTAGAAATGTGTCAGAAATTGTAGAAATATACTTAATCTTCATCTCACACTGTTCCCCAGGTGATCAGCAGGTGATGTTTCCCAACAGAATTATTACTTTGCAGAAATACAATCTTCAAGTACTTTAGTATTATGTGTTCCATTTTTAGCTGTTAATCTTAGGAAATACACTATTCTTACCATATTTTTCAAGCACTCTGTGTATCTGAATTTAGGTTGGTGGTTGTTCGTTTGCAATCTACCTAGGAAATATTTCGTTATTTTCTCTCTGGATTCACTCTGTAATCAGCATACAATAGCTACTTCTAAGTTTTTCTCTTTGGAGTTTTGTGCAACCTAATATTCTGCTTTGTATTCAGAATTATTTGATGTTCTTTGCTGTAATTTTTGAGCACATTTCTATTGTCCCTTGCTAACATCCATGGGAGTCCATGTGCAACTTCAGTTATTTCACTCATCTTGAAGTGCTCAAATGATTTCCATTATACTTTCATCCTATTGTAATATAAGACAAATAAACTTTAACCTATTTGATGGGTTTTCCATTTGTTCATGCTAAAACATTTAATTTCATGAAGGCAAGGAGGCAAAAAGAATAAATAAATCTGTTGTGTTGAATATACATCTTCGTATGTATATTCAAAGAAAGTGTAAGCTTAGGCACAGAAAGTGAAGTTCATTTCAGAAGGGATTTTGTCATTTCAGACTGCATTGCCAAACTCTTAAGAACTTGCATCTCAAGACTAAAAATGATTTTAAAAATTGTATTTGTCGGAGGAGAGGGGAAATATTTTAAAGCATGTCATCATTTAAAAAGAATCTAAGCAAACTCTAGCAAAATCTTCCCTATTTTTTATGTAGGTAAAAACCATTACTGTCATGGAAAAGAGCTTCCACTCAGTTTAAATGAGTATTTTGTAATATTGTGCAAAATTTTTCACTGAACAGAGTCAAATAAGCATTTTTGATGACAATTTGCAAATTTCTTCTCTCATTAGCACATTTTCTCCTCAGTAATACTTTAATAGAATAGGCTTAAAATACACTCTATTAATCCAGGTTCAGGTTTTTCTGTATGCATGGCAATAAACACTTCTCTTCCCTGTATGAATTTTTTCCCACTAGAAAGCTAGGGCAAGTCAATAACATTTCTGACATGCCATAGCACACCATCTTTTATGGAACTGATTCTACAGTATATGATATTTGTCCTTATGTAACATGTAAAATTTTGAAAAGAAGGCTGTGAACATATACTAAGGCTCAAGGAAATGATTTATGGTGACGATGAAAGGGAGCGAATGTGTCTAAAGGGGGTTCTTCTTAAGAAATGAGGCTGCATAGTTCTCCCTTTCACATCCAGCCTGCACATATTATTGAAGTTCAATTAAAATCGATTAATTTTTATAATCACTTTGGTTTTATCTCATTGATCTTATGGTAAATGATAGATGTGTATTTGGATTATTTTAGCTCAGTTTCAATGACTAAAATTCAGTTTTTTGAATCAAATCTATTGCCTCACCTCACTTGCCATAGAAGAAAAGGAAGGCACCTTCCAAAAGGCATTTATCCATGATAAGACATGCTTAAGGGTTTGAGTTAGACATCTAGAATTCCTTCTGATTAACTCTGTCATTAGTATATTATTCTAAACCATTGCTGAGTTTGCTGGAATATTGGTATTTAAAGGAATTGCAGGGAAAATATTAGAGTAATCAGCTCAGAATATAAGGCTCCTCTTTTGCAAAAGTATAATAAGCAGAGGTATCTAATAGAATGTACTACTGGAATTAGTTCTACAGCACTCTTGATTTCCCTCTTCCCATTTTAATCCGCTTTCGATAGCTGTTCATTCAAATTCAGGTATTCAGTATTCAGCTTCATAATTGAAAAGAATCTCTGTAGTCACCTCTGATCACCTAAATTTGCTGGACATGACATTGAAAGTTAAATCTTAACTTTCTTCCAAATGCCTCAATGGCACCACATACTTTTCTCACTAAAATATTGAAAAAACTTTTCTTGGGAAATCTCTTATAGTGTGATTCCATTCACTGACCTTCTGACACTAAAGAAGCTTTCTTTCATTGCCCACCTCCTTTAATTTTATTGCCTCATTGACTCATTATATACTTTTATACCCTACATTTGCAAAAGCCTTTTAGGGTGCCAAACAACAGAAATAAATTCAGACGAAATTGGACTCAGACATCTTTAATTTTTTTATTATTATTATTTATTTAAGCACTTATAAAGTATCAGTGTTATCTTCCCATCATTTTTTAAATTACTTTACTTCAAGTGTTTTTAAACATGGCATCAGTCCAGAGTCAGTATTATTTCTGTCTCTTCACATCTATAAAACAGAGGCACACTCAGTGATAAATAAATGGAACAACGATTATTTTTTGGAGGGGAAAGATTTCACATCTCATCAGGAAAAAAAAAAAAAATAAAATACAATAAACCAACAGTTAAAGTCTCTGTTTCAAAAATGTATATTTATATATGTATAAAAGGCATAAAAAATGTTTTAACTGAAAAAAAAAAAAGTCTTAACAATATTCTCTGCCAAAGAGTCTGTTTAATCCTACTAAGAATTTTAGAAATACAAGCTAAAGTTCTGCACTAACATATTCAAACTTTTGTGGGCAGTGTAAGTGCCTGCTACTCCTAGGAATCATAACATAAATCTGCCAGCTTGTTCATATGTCTGAGCCTTAAAGCCAGACATTCACACTGCCTACAGAATTGTAAATTGTGCTTGCTGTGAGCAAAGATTCTTAATTCTTCTTATCTCCCTCATTACATGATTCCATGCACATCACATCAGAGGAGACAGAAAAACATTAATCTTTTTAGCTCATTTCATAATATGTAGGCTGTTCACAGTGGCTCAGGGAAAGAAAAGGAAAGGAAATGGAGAGCAACTCTCTCAGTTTGTGCCTTCTCCCAGTGTGGAACATCCCTTGTTCCCACAGAGAACCAATTTCCCTGACAGCATTTATGCCGCCATCCCAGAGGGGTGTGAATGGCTGACAGTATCCCTGCACATGTCAGGTGAGGGAGGGGACAATTTGAGCCCTTCATATGTACTACCACCTAGTTTTCATGCAGGCAAATGAGAGAAAGCTGAACATATACCAGGCATAATGAGCTGCTGTAATCCATGTTTTGAGCAGGAGAAAAAAGAGGTGGCTTCAGTCTGTGCTTTAGATTTTCATGGGACATGTTGAGAGCAACATGCAGGACAGACTGAGTATCTCATTGAAGGAGAAGCAACAAACTTAAGAATCCATGTATCCATTCTCATCTTGGGAGCTGAAGAGTATGTTTATTAAACCAATATTATGCCATTAAATCCAAAGATATCTATTTAAAGTACTGGAAGGCAGGAGGAAGAGTAGTTAAGGCTACATTGGATGTCTTACAGTAGAGAACACAAAGGTGAAACCAGCCTACAGAAGAAAAACTGACAGTTTTCAAGGGAGAAATAAACGTGTGGGAGAAAGACAAGAGATAAAAAATAGCATATAATGGAAAAACCTCAGAAGGACAGAAAGGTCAGAACCTGGAAGCAGTAGTAGGTATTGTTTATATAACTCATCCATCATTATTTTACAGCAGTTCCACCAGTAGATGTTGGCTCAACAAGAGGATGAAAGACATTATAAAAAAGAACATTTGTCACTGCAAAAAAACAACAAACTAACTAGCTAAGTAAAACAAACAAACAAACCCCTCCACAAAGATAGCAAGATTTGCCTAAACAAATACTGGAAGATTTTGGTTGGTTGGTATTTTAGATTCTTGGTATATTTATTTTTGAAATGACAGTGAATACCTTTCTACTTTACCTTCTGCTGGATTTGTTTAACTCCAGTACTAAATGTAAACAGTATATGTTCAATATTCACAGTAATTCTGAATTATTTACTGGAAGATGATAACGTTATCTTGCTTTGCTGAAGCACCGCTGTCTGCTGGAAAACAGATTTCTGTCTCTCAAAATGGTACTAAAGCAATCCAGAAGTGACAATTCTTGCTACAACAGCACTCTTTGGTAGATGGAATATTATGTCTGTATGAACTTATAGATTATGAGTGGAGGGAAACATAACAGTGGCAAAGGTCCCTCTCGGCATTTCTAATTCTTGATGTTCTGTCATGGGATTCAGGAAGTCCTGTTCATGCTTACAATAGGAAAGACTCTTGCTATACAGTATTTCAATCCCAGTTAATAAATCCAATCTCTAAATCAGACATGCAGTTATTATTGTCTCAGTCTGTCAGGTCAGCACAGAGATAAAGATCAGAGAAAACCACTAAAGGACAGTGCTATGAAGACAGAACTAAGCATAGGTGATACAGGGACGGTTGGACTGGATGATCTTTTCCAACTTTGGTGATTCTATGATTCTATGATTTGAGTTGCTCAGTTGTGGAAGAAATGATGTGTAATGACAGTGTTAGAAATAACTATATCTGCACCTTGTCTGTCACTAGATGCCTACAAGGTAAAATGCTGCTAAAAAATGCTTGTATTCTAACAATGAACACTGCACAGACATTCATTAATTTAATCTCTCAAGGTATCAAAACAGATGAAGATCCAAGGAAATGAAATTAGTTGCAACAAAAAGTGACTTTATTTCAGATCATATGCTTATGATGACAATAATCTAATCATTACTCATACTCATCTTACACAGAAAGATAATGGAAATTTTTAGGCACGCAATAAGTGTACAAAATATGTACACTTTAATTACAAATGTCACAAGTTCAGAAGGAGTACACTTCACGTTGTACTTAAATGTTTTTAAGACAACTGCTACAAAAATCTGTGGAGGTTTCTTATTACCAAACATTCTCCAGGAGAACATGTATGCTGGTGCATCATACAGTCTTGTAATTTCTATTTGCACTATCACATAATGTCCCTCCTTGACCTATTCCCTGATCTGCATTCCTTGATTTCTGTACTGAATTATTTTAGATTTCTCCTGATATTTCTTATAACACGAACCAATTTGCTCTTTCTGAGACTGGCTGTGCTTCTGGAGTCAACCTGCACATCTCTGAACAGTGTTGACAGATGCTTATTTCAGACAATTAAGCCAGATAAAATTCATACTATTGTCCTGTAATATTAACCTGCTAATTTAAGTGTACTGCTGAATGAGCTTTGATAGCATGGACCAAAGACAGATGTTTATTGCTGTCTTGGGTAATTTTTATTGGCAGCAGGCATCTGATCAAAATGCTATTGCAGCATAATCCATAGTAATCAAAACTGAAATTTGATTTACTATTTCATGATGACTTCAATAGCGATAACAGCAGTGCAGATGATGCATCCTGTGATTTACAGCAGCAGTCACTTAAGACTAATAACAACTAATTTATCTGTGACAACATAGAATCTGATAGTTCTGCAAGAGTAAAAGGTTTGATGTTTTTTTTTTTCCCATCATCATAGCTTAATTTCCTTAACTTCTTAACTTAAATTCCTTAACTTCTCA